GTATGTGGCTGGTGCCTTAGCCGCTTGAGCCACAGGCCCCGAGCCCACCATCATCCTTTAATAACCAAAGGTCTCAGCCTATTATAGTAAGAGTTAAGCATTTCCTGAACAAATTCACTTAAGCAAAAATTTACAGGCACCAGGGTTCTGGAAATAAGACATAGTGTTCTGTCCCCTTACTTGTCCCCCTCACCCTGATACACAGAAAGCCTCCATGAGAACATGAGACTGCCACACACGTTTTGCAAAGTGTAATTATTCAACATAGCAAGAGTAGCAACCCCCAGGTCTGTAAGAGCTGTTGCTGGTACCTGACCCAGCCTGGATTCTCAGTTCCCTTAGCAACACTGACAAAGTGGGCTCAGCGCCTGTAGCACAGTGGTTATGATGCCAGCCACATACACCAAGGGTGGCGGGTTCGAACCTAGCCCAGGCCTGCTAAACAACTGCAACAAAAAAATATCCGAGCTTCGTGGAGGGCACCTGTGGTCCCAGCACTTGGGAAGCTGAGGCAAGAGAATCACTTGGGCCCAAGAGTTTGAGGTTGCTGTGAGCTGTAACGTGACACCACGGTACTGTACCCAGGGTGACAACACTGACAAAGTAGGTTGACTGGCAGCTGACTCTGAGAGTCACCACTCATGTCTTGTTCTCTCAGGCCCAGGGACGGATCTTTGGGAAACTGAAAGAAGAAAACTTTTTTAACCCCAAAGAAGAAGTGAAGCTGGAAGCCCATATCAGAGTGCCATCTTCCACAGCTGGCCGGGTGATTGGCAAAGGTGGCAAAACCGTAAGTGTGCTCCTTAACCTGCATCAAATTCCCTGCCCTGGCCTTGCCCAAGTTCCCTCAGAGCCCCTCTGGCTTCTTCTCTCCCCGTGTATATGCTCAGTCTGGGTTTTTGGCTAACAAAGTATGACTCTTCTGGCATCTGAGCCCTTTGAGGCATAAGGATGCCGAAGATAAAAATGTAGTCTGTATTATTGAAGAATTTCGGGCCCCAGATCTACACCACATGAACCAAACAGGTTCATGTGTCCAGTAATACTGTTTCTACTCCATGCAGGGAATAGAGGTCTCCACTCCTGTACCGGAGCAGGTAGTAAAGTAGCAAAGGGGGCAAGTCCAACCCAAAGTATCTTTCATCCCCATTGACACAACACTGGCTTCTCTGAATTTCATATTCAGAGCCCCATAGGGTCTTATGTCCTGTGCTGTCTCCCAATAGATGTTGCCAGGGGCCCTACCTCTCTCTCTTCCAGATTCCATCTTTTGGACATTTCCTGGCCCTCTGCTATAGCAGAGTTAGTGTAGCAATAGACTGATGCATAAGAAATGGATTTTTAGTTTCTTAAAAAGTAATGAGCTAGTGTGGTGGCTCATTCCTGTAATCCTAGCACTTTGGGAGGCTGAGGTAGGAGGATCACTTAAGGCCAGGAGTTTGAAACCAGCCTGGGCAACATAAGGAGACCCTATCTCTATAAAAAAAAAAATTTGTTTTTAAGGAAAAGAATTACATGGGCATGGTGGGCACACCTATAGTCCTAACTACTTAGGAGGCTGAGGTAAGAGGATCACTTGAGCTCAGGAGTTCAAGGCTGCTGTGAGCTATTATTGTGCCCCTGCACTCCAGCCTGGGCGACAGACCAAGACTCTTGTCTCTAAAATAACCAAAAAATAATGATCTACATTTTTATACCTGAAGGTGGCAGTAACACAGTGCAATTTGAAAAGTACCAGACCATTAACTCTGAAGCCTGCAGGAATGAGCAGGGAATCTGTCAGACAGAGGTGTGTTCTAGAACATGATTTAACCACCTAGTGGGGAGATACTCCTGAAAAGTTGGACCCTAGTGTATGTTTGGAGAAATGGCTGTGTTGGTTGCAGGAATTCAGGGGATCTCTACAGTCCAGGAGAGAGAGGTCATGTGTATATATGTATAACTGCTGATTTTTATAAAGTTCTTAATATAGAAAATCTTACACAGGATTCAAAACCAAGTTCTACACACAATGAACCACCTTTATGTAAAAGTTTAAGGTTACATACACGGAATGTAGATTATTACCTCTATCCAGGAATACAGTCAATACCCCAGGGCACACACACTGAGTCTGGGGGAGTTGGAGAGCAGTGGGCAGAAGAAAGCAGATGTTTCCCCATGGAGCAGAACCCTGGGGTCTCCTGTTTAGTTATTTCACAACTAGTCAGTGAGTTCCCTGCTTCACCCAGAGACTTGTTAACTGTCCATGGGGCACTTGCTGAACCCACCTGTGACTCATCCCTCAGGGAGAGTACAGTCTTGCTGGGAAGCAGCCCCAGTGAGGCAGCAGCAGGAGCAACAGAGTACGGAAAAATGGTCTGAGATAAAGGGAGGTCAGCATCTATGAGCAGAGGCTTCATGGGGGAGGGGGTTTGAGGTGGAGTCAGGTGGAGGGTGAAGAGATACCAGTCCACAGATAGGAACAGCACAAGCAAGATTTGGTGGCCGGAGTGGACATGAGGAGCAGGGAACAGGGCAGGGCCTATCAGGAGGGAAAGTTTACCTTGGTGAGTCAGACAACAGGAGGTGTGGGCTCACAGTCAGCGCCCAGGAGAGCCTGTCCCACAGGAGCCACCTCCCCAGGATTGTTGGAAGGCCCAGAGTCCCTGGGAGCATGTGCATATCCATAATAAGAGCACTCCAGAGGAAGAGAATTCAGTCTCAAAGCAACCCTATGGACTCAGGGGCCTGGACTCCCTTTCCCTGTCCTTGAGCCTCCCAGAGCCCAGGGGTAGAGAAGCCCCTAGGGATGTCCCAGGTTGAAGGATGGGAGCACAGACGCCCCTCTCCAGCCCCCATCCCAAGCGCATGCCTATCCTCCCTCCACAGGTGAATGAACTGCAGAACTTGACCAGCGCAGAAGTCATCGTGCCTCGTGACCAGACACCCGATGAAAACGAGGAAGTGATCGTCAGAATAATCGGGCATTTCTTTGCTAGCCAGGTACCTGTACTGTAAGGGCCCCATCTCTCCTGCCAATCTCTATTCCATTCTCTGCCTGAGTTATGGGTGGCCCTCAGACCCTGCACCCCTCCCTGCGCCTGCCCAGATTGAACCACTCCCTGGTTCTTCCCGGAGCTTGAAGGATTACTAGCAAGGCAGGGGACGTTGTTCCACACCTTCTCTCTAGTGCACGCTAGGAGACTCGGGAAGAGAGTACAACTGCTGGGTCAAGCCCTTAAGCAAAGCAGAGCAAGTTCCAAGCCCCCTATAGTGCTAAGGGGTAAAAGAGGTCTGTATTGCCCTCACCCTCCCTCCACAGGCCCCAGCCTTTCTGCTGGGAGCCATACACAGGCAGGCCCCACTCTGCATCCCCCAGCTGGAATCTGAGCACTGCCTGGGTGCCCAGATACCACCTTGAAAGGTCATGTGCTCATGGCAAGAGACCCTGGTTTCTCATTTCTCTTTTTCCATCTCACCACGTCCTACCTTATCAAAACATAGCACCTCCACACAGCTTCTCCTCTTTTGTCTGGGAAGGCTAGTGCCTGGCCTAAGTTGGCCTAGTTCTCTTGGATGCTTTTGTTGGCTGTGTTTGGGGAGAGAGAGCAATCTTGGTTTTTGTCCTAAACCAGTGAAGACAAACAGTGTAAGCTGCCATTGAAGGTTTGTCTGAGCTGTTGTGCTTCTGCTGTCCCTGTACATGTTCTGCCACGCTGCAGTCCCCCTCCCTTCACCTAAGGGGCCCTTTCCTGCAGTCAGAGCCCCTTGCCACACACCTCCTGCTGCCTCAGCCCCTCAGTGTCCTGCACAGTTGGGTGAACAGCACATCCTATAGAGCCCCGGTTGGCAGGGAGCTCCCTGCAGTGGCAGCACTAGGCGGGGGCGGGGGTCATGTGTGTGCTCCAGTTGTTAGGGCAATGTCTGGACCCAGTTTCTTCCCCACCCCGGCCCCTGTCCACCCGAGTGTTCCTCCTGGCCCTTCTAGAAAGGTGGGTGGGGCAGCAAGGAGCCTCAGTGTGTGTAGTTGGGAGGGAGGTACTATCAAACCTCTGCAACCCCACTTTCCCACCCCATCGCTGGCTGCTCACTTCTGCTGGCCAGCCCATCTGTCCAGCAAGGAACTGGAAGCTGCTGGGACCCCACCCCTTGCCTTCCACTCAGCAGCCTTGCAGTATGTGGGCAGAAGACCTCTGCCACTTGTTGCCAGGCAGAAAAGGTCACAGAATAAGGCACCTACCTAGAGGGTAGATGACCCTTCTCTGACCACCTACCCTTCTCCCCCTAAGTCCCAGATCCTCCCCTACTGCTTGTCCTCAGAACTGGGTTCCTTTTTTCCCCTGTCCCCTCCTCTCCCTTCTCTCCCTTGCTGCAGACTGCACAGCGCAAGATCAGGGAAATTGTACAACAGGTGAAGCAGCAGGAGCAGAAATATCCTCAGGGAGTCGCCTCACAGCGCAGCAAGTGAGGCTCCCACAGGCACCAGCAAACAACGGATGAATGTAGCCCTTCCAACACCTGACAGAATGAGACCAAACACAGCCAGCAGATCGGGAGCAAACCAAAGACCATCCTGAGGAATGAGAAGTCTGCAGAGGCGGCCAGGGACTCTGCAGAGGCCCTGAGAATTCTAGGGGCTAAGGAGGGGGCAGGGAAGGTCATCCGGGCTCTCCAGGACCTCCTCCCCTGGCCAGCCCAGCACCTGCCCCCCAGGTCCTCTGCAGGCTCCCCAGCCATCCACTTCACCATGCACTGGGATCTCTCCTTACTTCCCAAGACGCTATCCCTTCTAGTTGAGCTACCATAGGTGAACATGTTTAAAGGCAAGCAAAATTCACACCCTTTTTTTTTCCTTTTTTTTTCTTTTTTTTTTTTTTGGCAAATCACCTCTGTACATGTATGTACATATTAGAAGGGGAAGATGTCAAGATGTGTTGCCTGTGGGTTACACTGAGTGCCTATGGCAGTAATATATTTTAGAAATAATATATCAAATAACTCAACTAACTCCAATTTCTTAATCAGTTATTAATTTTTTTCCTTTTTAAAGAGAAAGCAGGCTTTTCTAGACTTTAAAGAATGAAGTCTCTCTTTGGGAGGTCTGATGGTGTAGAGAGGAGCTTCAAGGCCACCCACAGAAAATTCACCCGGAGGGAAATCTCGTGGAAAGGACACTCAGCAGTTCTGGGTCACCTGTGTATGTCAACAGAAGGGATACCGTCTCCTGAAGAGGAAACTCTGACTCTCTTCATGCCTGTCTAGCTCATACACCCATTTCTCTTTGCTTCACAGGTTTTAAACTGGTTTTTTGCATACTGCTATATAATTCTCTGTCTCTCTCTGTTTATCTCTCCCCTTCCCTCCCCCCCTCCTCCCCTGTCTCTTCCATCCCCATTCTTTTTGAATTCCCTCATCCCTCTGTCTCAGTCCCCTGTATCTATGCACCCCATCCCACCCCCCCACCCCCCAGGCAAAGCAGTGCTCTGAGTATCACATCACACAAAAGGAACAAAAGCGAAACACACAAACCAGCCTCAACTTACACTTGGTCACTCAAAAGAACAAGAGTCAATGGTACTTGTCCTAGCATTTTGGAAGAGGAAAACAGGAACCCATCAAACCAACCAACCAAACAAAGGAAAATTCCACAATGAAAGAATGTATTTTGTCTTTGTACATTTTGGTGTATAAGCCATCAATATTCAGCAAAATTATTTCTTTCTTTTAAAAAAATGTGGAGGAAAATAGCAATTTACACAAGGTCGTTGGCCCAGGGCGTTAAATTTACAGATTTTTTTAACGAGAAAAATACAAAAAAAAAAGCTACCTCAGGTGTTTTTTACCTCAGCACCTTGCTCTTGTGTTTCCCTTAGAGATTTTGTAAAACTGATAGTTGGAGCATTTTTTTATTTTTTTAATAAAAATGAGTTGGAAAAAAAAAATAAGATATCAACAACTGCCAGCCTGGAGAAGGTGACAGTCCAAGTGTGCAACAGCTGTTCTGAATTGTCTTCCGCTAGCCGAGAACCTATATGGCCTTCTTTTGGACAAACCTTGAAAATGTTTATTAAAAAGTATATATATGACAAAGAAAAACAGAGAGAGAAAATATTGGAGATGTCCTGATTTTCATAGGGTACGCGCCATTAGGGCTTTTTGTGCTAAAGGATGAACATGTACTGGTTTATGTGAACAAGCCATTATACCACCAGACTGCAATGCCAGTTTCCTCTACTGCAAACAGTGTTCTGTGACAAAAAACAAAAAAAACAAAAAAACAAAAAAAAAGAAAAGAAAAAAAAAGAAATATATCCAGCTAACAAGATCCTGGTGTCCTGGTCTCTTATTTGACTAAACATTGCCTTATGCCAACGTGTCAGCTCAGTTCCAGCTCCAAGGGACTTGAATACAGTGGGGCAGCATGTATGAGCGGGGTCCAGGAAGCTACTCTGAGGAGGCTTGCCTTTGTTCAGGAAGGCCTTTGGAAGAAACTAAACTAGATCAGTGGTTTTCAAAGTGTCCCCAGACTGGCAGCCTCCATTATCATCTAGGAATTTGTTAGAGATTCTTAGGGCCCACCTTGAATCAAAAATTCTGAGGTTGAGGCCCAACATCTGTGTTTCAGCAAGCCCTCTAGGTGACTCTTGTGCATTGTGCATGCAGTGAAGTTTGAGAAACACAGAACTGGCCCGGTACAGTGGCTGTCACCTGTAATCCTAGCACTCTGGGATGCTGAGGTGGGTGGATTGCTTAAGCTCAGGAATTACAGACCGGCCTAAGTAAAAGCCAGACCTCACTTCTAAAAATAGCCAGGCATGGTGGTGCATGCCTGTAGTCTCAGCTACGTGGGAATCTGAGGCAAGAGAATCGCCCAAGCCCAAGAGTTTAAGGTTGCTGTGATGCCACAGCACTCTACCAAGGGTGACAGAATGAGACTCTTGTCTGCAAACAAAAAAGAGAGAAACACAGAACTAGAGGGATGGATTGACCGCATATGGAGCTAGGTTAAGACCAGTCTCTATCACTAAGGAACTTCAAGGCTGGCCAGGAAAAGTTTATTTTTATGTGAAAGAAATGGGGAGGATTATATACCAATTCAAGGGAAGAGGTAGTCACCTATCCATGGAGAATTCAAGTGCAGGCACAACTTGGAGACATTGCAGGTTCTGTTCACTACAATAAAGCAAGTTACACAAGTTTTTTTGGTTTCCCAATATATACAAAGGTTATGTTTCCACTCATACTAAGTGTGCAGTAGCATTCTGCATCCCAAAAAATCAGTGTACCTAATTTTAAAATACTGCTAAGAAGGGCTAATAATCTGGCTCGGCACCTATAGCTCAGTTGGGTAGGGCACCAGCCACCTACACCAGAGCTGGTGGGTTCAAGCCCAACCCCAGTCTGCTAAACAATGACAACTGCAACCAAAAAATAGCCAGGCGTTGTGGCAGGTGCTGGTAGTCCCAGCTACTCGGGAAGCTGAGGCAGGAGAATTGCTCAAGCTTGCTGTGAGCTGTGACCCGTGGCACTCTACCGAGGGTGACATAAACTATCTCAAAAAAATAAGGTGCTAATGATCATCTGACCCTTGAGGGCCTTGCCTCCGTTACCGTGGTGGGAGTTGCTGGCCCAGCTACTTGGAAGGCTCAGGCAAGAGGATTGCTGGAGCCCAAGAGTTTGAGGTTACCATAGGCTATGACAACGCCATGGCACTCTACCCAGGGTGACAAAGTGAGACTCCACCTCAAAAAGAAAAATATTTTGAGAATTAATCAAAATGAGACACAGAGGCAGAAAGCAAACATACTGTTGGAAAAATGGTACTAATAGATTTGCTTAACACAGGGTTACCACGAACCTTCAATCTATAAAAAAAAAATGCAGTGTTTTTGAAGCGGAATAAAGCAATTCACAATAAAATGAGGTATGCCTGCATTCTGGGGGATGATGGGCCCCCAGAATGATTAAGAATCATTAAGCCTAGTGAGGAAGGCAGCCTTGGATTGGAGGATGTACCCGGCACTCTCGCCAATCTTTGTTGGAAGAAAACAGTCCTGCTCCATTTATAGGCTTGTATTCATAGGAGTTTAGAGTCTACCAGAAACAGCTGCCAAACATTTAAGCAGCCTTGGGAATGAAGAGCTAATACTTCACTGCCAGAGGTGGCCAGTTAGACTTTTTAGGATGACTATTTATAGCACAGCAGGGGCAAATGGTGGTGAGCTGATGGGAGTTCACAAGGGCCATATTGCTTCTAAATCACTTAAAATGTGTTCCTCCCTGATATTCTTTTTTGAGACAGTCTCACTCTGTCATCCTGGGTAGAGTGCTATGATGGTGTCATACCTCACAGAAACCTCAAACTCTTGGCCTTGAGCAATCCTCCTGCCTCCTGCCTCCCTGGTAGCTGGAACTATAGGCACCCACCACACCACCTGGCTAATTTCTCCATTTTTAGTAGAGACGGGCTCTCATTCTTGTTCAGGCTGGTCTTGAACTCTGAGCTCAAGTGATCCTCCCAGAGTGCTAGGATTACAGGTGTGAGCCAGCATGCCCAGCCTGATTTTATCATTTCCAATTCAGTGATGTGGATGAATTGTGAAGTTTCAGGGCATGGGGATGTCCAGCTATTCCCCTACTGTTACTGCTATGGCTGGCATGAATATGGACAGGGACAACCTGTCCCTTTGTGTGTCATTAGAAACCACCTTCCCACCTCTCCCAGTTAGGATCAAGCCCACTGCCCTCTTAAGCCATAAGTGGACAGCCCAGAGAACCCAGGGGGTTCTTGTAAAACAAGGTTGTAACTAACTGAAATCCATTGTCTAGGTTGAGATATCTGTGTTAATGAACAGAGAGAAAAACACCACATCTTTAAAGGAAAGGCTTTAACTATTGAGTCAAAGCCTTTGTAATGATCCAAGAAGGAGAGACGTGATACTAGAGCCTCTAAAACTGGGGCCTCTTGGTTTCACCCCTTGGTTTTATTCCTTGGCCTTTAGGTGGCAGAATTTCAGATTTAGCTCTTGAAGTGCCCATTTCCAAAATATATATATATCTATGAACAAGTATGAGAAAAACAGGACAGGAAGTGTAGGATGACACCTGATTTTTCCTGGGGTAAAACACCCATAAATTGTCCTAGGGTTGTAGGAATGAAGGGAAGACCACACAGAGAGGAAGAAGATAGGAACAGGATTAGCTGGCCTGGTTCCTAAAGAAAGATGTTCTCCCAACCCACTTTCAGAGAACCCACATGCTGAATTACCTCACACCTGGCTCAGCTCTCTTGAACCAGAGACCATCCTTCCCAAGAAGGCATCCTGTCCTACCCTACAGGGACTACGAATAGCTTCATGTGTATAAACTGGGCTCTGATGAACCCGGTGAATAACCTCATGTGCTCAAGACCATTATGAACTGTATTCATTTTTTAGCACTCTACCCAGGGGGACAGCTTGAGGCTCTGTCTCAAAAAAAAAAAAAAAAAAGAACCAAAGGGGAAGATATGCTTTGAACAGGAAGAGAGCATCTTTTTTTTTTTAATTTAATCATAGCTGTGTACATTAATACTATCATGGGGTACAGTGTGTTGTTTCTATATACAATTTGAAATACTTTCATCCATCTGGTTAACATAGCCTTCATGTCATTCTCTTGGTTATTGTGTTAAGACATTTATATTCTACATTTTTTTTTTTGAGACAGAGCCTCAAGCTGTCCCCCTGGGTAGAGTGCCATGGCATCACAGCTCACAGCAACCTCCAACTCCTGGGCTGAAGTGAGTCTCCCGCCTCAGCCTTCCAAGTAGCTGGGACCACAGGCACCCGCGACAATGCCTGGCTATTTTTTTTTTTTTTTGGTTGCATCTGTCATTGTTGTTTTGGCAGACTGGGCTGGATTCAAACCCCCCACCTTAGGTGTATGTGGCTGGCGCCTTAGCCACTTGAGCCACAGGCGCCAAGCCTTTTCTTTCATTCTTGAGATACTTTGCTAAGAAGAATATTTTCCGGCTGCACCTGTGTAAACATGAAAGAAGTAAAGTCTCCATCTTTCTTTATGGCTGCATAGTATTCCATGAGAGCATCTTGATTAGAGGCTGAGGTGAGAGGAAACACTGGACTTCTAAGGGTGAGCAGGGAAAATCAACAACCTTGCATCACTTAGGGACAGAATGGCCAAGTAGACAGAAGGACAAAGATTGGAGAGTCTAAAGAACATTTGGCCTAGTCTTACTCTTGTACCTCTAGAAAGGATGTGGGCAATAGACACAACTCCATGTTCCTATTGTGGAATGAGCCTGCAGCTGTAGGCATCTAGGGACTAGCCTAGGTCATATGAGCATCCAACTTTCCAAGGATCTTAAGGCCGACTGGAGATTTCTTTGGACTGCTACTGTAATGTCTAACCCAGTGTTTTTCAACTTTTTTTTTTTTTGAGACAGTCTCACTGTGCCGCCCTTGGTAGAGTGCATGGCATCACAGCTCACAGCAACCTCAAACTCTTGGGCTTAAGCTAATCTCTTGCCTCAGTCTCCCAAGTAGCTGGGATTACAGGCACCTGCCACAGACCCAGCTATTTTTTATTTTTTTGTTGCAGTTGTCATTGTTATTTAGCAGGCCCAGGCCAGGTTTGAACTCACCAGCGCAGTGTATGTGGCCAGCACCCTAACCACGGAGCTGTGGATGCGGAGCCATGTCAATCTTTTTTATCTCACAGCACACTCGAACCTATAGTTTAACTTTCATGACACACTTAAATTATGTTGATCAAAAAAAAGTTTAAAAAGAATATATTTACTGTGCTTTGAACTTCTTTTGAAAATAATTTAATTCATGATCTTTAAAATTTTTCATGGCACACCAGTTGAAAATCACTGGTCTAATCACACTGCTGGCAAATTCCTCCAATGTTTACTTCCAGTCCTTGCAAGCTGCCCTGTATCTCCTTCACTCCCCTGAAGGTACTGATGAGTAGTAGTATAAGACCTATCCTGTACATGTTGATTTTCTAGTCTAGCTGATCACATCAGCCACATAGCCACTGTCTTCCTAGAAACCATAATCAAGGGTTATTGCCAGCTCTTGCTCTCACAGAAACAGCTGCATAAAGGGAAAAACCTCATAGACAATTACATTGTAACTTGATCTCAGTGGTCCCTGTATTCTCTCTCTTTTTTTTTTTTTTGCAGTTTTTGGCCGGGGCTGTGTTTGAACCCGCCACCTCCAGCATATGGGGCCAGTGCCTTACTCCTTTGAGCCACAGGCGCTGCCTGGTCCCTATATTTTCTTATGAAAGGAGTGATTTGGTCACGGACCCAAAGTGCGTGGTTTGTTTCCATTAATGAATTTTAGGGCTGCACCTCTGATGTCTCAGATGTGGCTGACAATCCAGTGAAGAACATTCCCATTTCTCAGCGATCAGCGGAAACTCTTGAATCAAACACTAAACTCCTCTGATCCTTACTTCATTGAATCTGTAATGACAACAATCTCCAGTATAAAAGATTCCCTGATTTCTACAACTCCTGAATGTCCCTGATCCTCCCACAGTCACAAGAGTAATTCCAGTGGCCCTTGGTGAACTTGGGCACCCATAGCACAGTGGTTACGGCGCCAGCCACATACACCAAGGCTGGCAGGTTCAAACCCAGCCCAGGTCAACTAGAACA